CAAATTTGCTGGTCCTTTGTTTTGTCAGAGGGGGTGGCAACAAGAGAGAGTGGGCTAGTTGCATGTCCAACTATAGTCACGCAACTACATGTGTTCCAACATAGTTGCAAATGGGGGTCATTTGCTTTGTCGGAGGGGGCGACGACAAGAGAGAGGGGACCAATTGCATGTCCAACTATAGTTACGTAACTACATGTATCCCAAAATAGTTGCAACTAGGGCATTTGTTTTGTCAGAGGGGGTGCCGGCAAGAGATGGGGGGGCAGTTGCATGCTCAAATGTAGTCATTGCAACTGCATGCCTTTAAACATGGTCGCAACTCCATGTCTTCTAACTTGGTTGCAACTTGGCTTTTGTTTTGTCGGATGAGGAGAGGGCCAGTTACATGTTCCACACTAGCCATGTAACTGCATATCTTCTAACTTGGTTGCAACTTGGCTTTTGTTTTGTCGGATGAGGAGAGGGCCAGTTGCATGTTCCACACTAGCCACGCAACTGCATATCTTCTAACTTGGTTGCAGATGGGGGCTTTGTTTTGTCAGAGAGGAAGGCGGATGCAACTGCATCGCTTCCATCATGGTCGCAATAGCATGTCTTTTTTAACTTGGTTGCAACTCAACTTTAGTTTTGTCGAACAAGGAGAGGGGCAAGTTACGTTGCATGCCCCACACTAGGCATGCAACTTGCATGTCTTTCTAATTTGATTGCAACTAGGGCCTTTGTTTTGTCAGAGGGGCGGTGACAAGAGAAAGTGGGGCCATTTTCTGCATGTTCAACTGTAGTCATGCAACTGCATGTGTTTTCCAGCATGGTCGCAACTTTACATCTTCTAACTTGTGTTCTAACTGGGGCCTTTGTTTTGTCGGAGGGGACGGCGGTGAGAGAGAGGGGAGCAGTTACATACTCAACTGTAGTCACGCAATTGCATGTCTTTCTAACTTTTGTTCTAACTGGGGCCTTTGTTTTGTCGGAGGGGTTGCCGCAAGAGAGAGGGGGGCGGTTGCATGCTCAAATGTAGTCACGCAACTACATTTTTTCCAAGATGCTTGCAACTGCATGTGTTCTAACTTGGTTGCAACTCGATTTTTGTTTTATCATACGGGGAGAGGGGCCAGTTGCATGTCCCACACTAGTCGTGCAATTGCATGTCCTCTAACTTGATTGCAATTGGGGGGCTTTGTTTTGTCGGAGGGGGCGGCTCCGAGAGAGAGGGCCAGTTGCATGCTCAACTGTATTCATGCAATTGCATGTCTTCCAGCATGGTCGCAACTCGACCTTCGTTTTGCCATACGTGAAGAGGTGGGCTAGTTGCATTTTTCACACTAGACACGCAAATGTATGTCTTTTAACTTGGTTACAATTGGGGGCTTTGTTTTGTCAGAGGGGGCGGCGCCGACAGAAAGGGGCCTGTTGCAAGCTCAACTATAGTCACGCAAATGCATGTCTTTCCAGCATGGTCACGACTCGGCTTTCATTTTGCCGTACGTGGGGAGGGGGCCAGTTGCATGTCCCACGCTAGGCATGCAATTGCAAGTGTCTCCAAACTGCAACTCTATGATATTTTGTCATGGAAAAGGGGTAGTTGCATGCCTATCACTAGGCCCGCAACAGAGTGTTGCCCCCAACAGCAATTACATTCGTTCTGCTGTGAGCTGACTAAGACTTAATTAAGTCTCAATCAATTGTGTCATATCCACACTCTATTATTAATTTTGTTTCATTTCCTTTTCTATTTACTACTCTTTATTTTTATTTTTATTTTTATCTCTATAAAGAGGTTTTTGGAAAGAAAAAACATGCAAGAACAACCTACTCTCATGTCCGCACCTTATCTTGTTAGTATACCACTTGTCAATATTTGGATGATAGGGAAATTATAAATAGACGAGTAAAACAATGCTTGGCCTAGCCCAACCCAAGAAACAAAATACTAGCTAAAAACCAACATATTTTTAATTGCATGAGCAATGTTTTTAAATAATATATTTTTAAAATTAAGTTGCATGATATTTTTTAAATACACGATTAATATTTAGAAAAATACACGCACATATTTATTCCTAAATATGACGACAATTGTTACAATTTTGGAAACAAAAAACAGAATGATAAAAATGTAAGTAGAAAATGAAAAGAAAAAAAATGAAAAAAATGAAAAAAAAACCCAGACAAAACAGATAGAAACTGCACGTACCACAGTTTTTCATTTCGAGACATACCTTCAGCAGCACCTAGTCGATGAGCAGCAGCGCCGAAGAAAAACAAACTACCTAAAATCGCTGGCCCAAGGTTGTTTCGATAGCACAAAGACACAGCAAGCGATGGGGACATGGGCTGAACAATAAACAACAAAAGAGCGATGTGTTCTAGGAAAAAAATAAATGGATGATATCACCCGACTGAGACTTCGCGAAGTCTAAGCCGACTGAGACCTAGACAAACCCTTTATAGTACCACATCGCCTGAGCAAAGCAAACCGGAGCTGTTTTATATACTGATTCCCAGATTGTGTGGTCACCACGTGACACTTGTGGTAAGAAATCCAAACTTGATGAAAACAAATTAGGCTTGTTTAAACAGTGTATATGTTGCAGTCATTTGCTAGCAACATCACATACTAGCACTCCGACATGTGACCGCATTTTTTTTTACCAGAGACTTCTATTATTAACAGTCATCTGACTGCAAAATCACATACTAGCACTCCGACATGGTGTGATCACGTTTTTTTACTCAAGGTTCTATTATTAACTTACACATTTTTGTTGACTTAGAAAGCGGACTTTTACTCCCTTTGTCTGATTCAAATCTCTATCTACACACATGGACAACTAATTTGGAACGGAGGTAATATATGTCACAAAGTTGTGAGTATGCCGCCTCTCGTCTCTCCATGTCCAATTAATTTCATTGTATTTACATTATAGAATACATAAAAATTAAAACTGAATTAAACTTACAGGTAAATGGAGTGCTAGTATGTGATGTTGCAAGCAGATGACTGCAACATATACCACAAAAAACTGGAATTTCATCGAAAGCTGTATTTTTTGTATATATATTATTTATTTTATTGTTTTGTATCTAGCAAAATTGTAAGGTAATAAACATAGAAGATCCAGGATTCTCCACTTAATTCGAAAAAAAAAGGAGATTCATGTTCGTAGAACAGCGATAGAGAAAAAAAAAACGACTATCGGATTTGATCCGGTGAACCTCCTACGCACACCACTGCTCGTCTCTCCACCTGGTCACGCCGGTGTCTGCCTCCCTGCTTGGCCGCTCTGTGCAGCAGCGATCGTTTCCGTGTGCTATGATGGATATAGGCAAAGGAACTTTCTGAACTTCAAAGCAACACTATATATTACTCCCTCCGTCCGTAAAAGTTTGTCCCTCAAATGGATGTATTTAGCACCAAGTTAGTGCTAGATATATCCATTGGATGGAAAAGTTTGGGACAAGTTTTTTTGAACGGAGGGAGTAATATGCCAAGAACTGATTACACGCACGGACCAACAGACCCAGTAATTTGTAAAAGTTGATGCGCTCCCCGGCATCGCCGCTGTCGTTAACTCCTTATTGCACAAGACCAGCAGATACATCCAGCTCGATCGATAGAAGAAAGGGCAGTGATCAATCACTGAGCTGCGCTCCCCAGCATCGATGCTATCGATTTGATATACTCCACTTTGATCTTCTTTAGTCTCACGACCACATCGCTCATCGTCGTGGTTCTTTGATCAGGTAAGTCGCAGGAGCAGAGAAGACCCAGCTCAAGTACTGGCACAAGAAAGCCATCGGCCAAGTTGCAGCTAGAAGACGGACCTTGTAGTAGCCGCTCATCAACGACATGCACGAGCTCCGAGGGGAATGCCTGACAAACCCACCGCCGAAGGCTCAGTTCCCCGACAAACATGGCATCTGTTGGCCTCCTTCCCGTGAAGACTTCGAGGAGCATGATTCCAAAGTTGAATATGTCGCTCTTCCGCGATGCTTTTCCAAGAGACCCATACTCTACTCAAGAAACACGGAAACAAACATGTATGATGAACCGCAAATCTATGATTTAAAAGGTTGTAGCTAAGTACCTGGTGCCATATACCCAACCGTTCCGGGCATGCTCGCATATGTCATGGAGTTGTCATCACCTTGAAGCAGCCTTGCAATGCCAAAGTCCGCAACATGCGCAGTCATATCCTCATCAAACATGTTGCTAGGTTTCAAGTCATAATGCAAGATCACCTCGTGGTGCTCATGATGCAGATACGCCATTGCCATTGACCCGTCAAGCAAGATGCCCAACCTCTCAAGGAACCCCAAGCGCATTGTACTCTGGGACTGGTGTATGAGTGTCTCTAAGCTGCCATTTGGCATGTACTGAAGTATAAGCGCTCTAAAGTCAAGGTTAGAACAAGTGTTGAGTATTCGTATCAGGTTGCGGTGTCGCACCATGCGAAGAACTCGACACTCCGCATCAAAACTTCGGATGGCCTGGTCCAGTTGCATGTCCAGAACTTTTATCGCGACCACCAAACCACTGCTCAATTGGCCCTTGAAAACTTTCCAAAGCTTCCAGAGCCAAGTATGTTATCTTCGCTGAAACTGTTGGTGGCGCGAAGGAGCTCATGATATGAGACTATCTTATTGCATATGCCATCGGTTGGATCGACATAATCTTTGACCTCTCGCTTCTTAAGTTCTTTTTTGATACATAGGTATAAGCAAATTGCAATACCGCCAAAAGTAATAATGACAATCAGGATTTGAAATTTCAATAAGTGTTTGTTACTTGAATGAGATTTGTCAAGGCATGGTGGAAATCCTATGCGTGGAGCACCGCATAGCCCAACATTTCCAATCAAAGATTGTAATGTGAGATTCAAGAAGACACCTCCCTCAGGTATCTGACCATCTAGCCTATTGAAGGAGAGGTTCAAGGTACTCAAGTATGTGAAGTTGGCAAAGAAAGTGGGGATGGTGCCAGAAAGATCATTGGAGGAGAGATCTAATAATTCTAAGCTAGTTAGATTATTAAGTTGGTTTGGAATTGGGCCTTCAAACAAATTATATGAATGATTGAGGTAGGTTAGCATTTTAAATTCCCCGATTGATCCAGGAATCTTCCCATCCAAGAAGTTGGAAGAAAGGTCTATTTGATCGATTTGGCTTAGCATGCTAACATCATCTGGAAGCGCACCACCAAAGGAATTGTGAGAAAGATTTAATTTGATAAGTTCATCTAGGTGGAATACACTTGTAGGTAGTGCAGAAATGAACTGGTTATTGGATATGTCAATGTATTGTAGCCTGCTAAGGTTGCCAATGCTATCTGGTATAGAGCCAAAGAATTTATTTTTCTGCAAAAACAATCGCTCAAGACTCTTGAACATACCAATTTGACTTGGGATAGTGCCTAACAATTCATTCATTGAGATATCGAGTAACACAAGGTTTTCCATTGTAGTGATGGAGTGTGGCATTTCCTTTGTTAGTGGGTTGTTGGAAAGATCTATCCAGTTCAGACTGCTGAAATTTGAGAGAGTAGCTGGAATTCCACCGGTTAACTTATTGTAACCTGCACGAAAAGTGATTAATTGTGTAGAGAGGTTTCCCATATGGTCTGGCAGGGTACCCGTGAAATAATTATTCGGTATTACAAGGTCCTGGAGTTGTCGGCAGTTGGAGAGAGCAAGCAAGAAGTCCATATTCCCCTCTAATTTATTCTTAGATAGAAGAAGCCTTTTCAAAGTTGCAATTCTCCCAAGTGTTGTGGGTACTTGGCCAGAAAAGTGATTTCTGTCCAAATATAGATAGGACAATTTGGACAAATTGCCAAGGGAAGGTGGAATTGTACCTTTTAGTTGATTCTTTTCAAAATTTAAAGTCGAGAGTTCTTGCATTAGACCTACTTGTGGCGGGATTTCCCCTTTCAGGTTGGCATGAGAGAGCTCCAGGATATTAAGATTGGTGAGATTGCTAAGCTCGGTTGGGATTGAGCCAACAAGGTTGTTAGTACCCAAGGGAATCCACTGGAGATGCGGCAATTTGGCTAACCATGTTGGCACAACATCCATAAAACAATTTATAGACAGAGAAATTGTTTCAAGGTACTGGCATGATGCAAGCCCTAAAGGAAACCTCCCGGAAATTTTATTTACAGTGAGGGAAATTTCTTCCAACATTGGCAGGCTGAAACTTTGATTATCCGGAATTTGTCCAGTTAGGTTATTGATTGGAAGTAGCATGATTCGCAACTTGGACATGTTGTAAATGGCTTGTGGAACTATGCCGCTGAGTTGATTGAATTGCAGACTCAAGAACTCAAGTTTGGAGAGGGAGGCAATATTGTTAGGTATAGGACCCGATAAGCTGTTGTTTCCAAGACGGATGTACCTCAAGGAAGGTGTGTTGTTGAACATATAAGGTGGTATTGGGCCACTTAAATAATTTGTTTGTAAAGAAAATTTTCTAAGATTCTGCATATACAACAGTAGGTCACGAGGGATCTGACCTGAGAGTTGGTTGTGACCTAGATGGAGGAACTCGAGCCTTGTAAGGTTCCCAAGGACAGGAGGAATATCATTCGAAAGGCTATTCCAATAGAGAGAGAGAGAGAGAGATATCGAAGCCGGCGTAGCTTGCCAAGTTCAGGTGGGATGGAGCCGATGAGGCCGGTTTTTGCAAGGTTGAGAACGGAGAGGAAAGAAAGGTTACCTACGTGAGGCGCCAGGGAGCCGAGGAGGGAAGTGCCCGGCAACGACAGGGATGTAACACGCCGGCGACGGCGGCTGCAGGTGACACCGGCCCAGTGGCAGAAGGACCTATTGGCTACCCAGCTGTTGGCAAGGATGCCGGCGGGGTCGGAAAGCCAGCAGGGCAGCGAGGTCTGCGTCGCTGCCGGTGCCATTTGCCGGACTCGAGGAAGAAGATGAGGCCGAGACGGCGGATAGCACTAGCACCAGAACTATGATGAGAGGAGGAATGCGGGCGGATGATGATGCAGCAGCGGCCATTGGAGCTGTTTACCTTTGCCGTGAACCGTGACCAATGGTGAATTTATACGTGGTTTCTGCAGAATATCATCTTCCTGCTCTGTGGCAGAAGCTGGTGCACCGATCGTAGTCACTAGTCACCTTCCGGTCGCTTCACGCCACGGCGGGCATGTCGGCACAGCCTACGGCTATATCAAACTACAGCGATCGGTTCAAGCCCGTCAAACACGCACCTCATGCATGTCCTGGAATATCGAGGGAACGAGACAAAAACTTCCACGCCAACAAGACTGGAGTACTAGTCAATGCAACAAGGATAACAATCTCCGGTGTAGAATGCCACAGCCACACAGGCCTGCTGCTCCCTCGGCCCCTACAGCTAGGCTCTCCAGCTCACATAACATGACATTTTAGACACGGGCATGATCCTCAAAACGCAGCTTAAAACTAGAGTGGTATTTTCTTTCCCGAGATATTTACAAACCCCGAAAAAACTACTAGTATTTCCTTTTTCAGTGATGTTTAATCACTTTGTTTTTGTGTATTTGGAGTTTTTCCTAACTAGGATTCTCTCAAATGCTTCAGGAGGATGGGTTGTTCTAAGCAACACCTGTCATGCAATAACTTGGAGCAGCTAACCAGCTAATGATCGGGGTCGCAACCCAAGGTCATGATATGACCGTTGGCAGGTGGTGGCCGCCAACCAGCTCGTCAAAGGTCGAAAATTTAAACTCTCAAATTCTTTGCGGTGGGAGAACCACATTGATGGTTTCTTAGAACATTGACTATAGCCTCCTGAAGAACTTCCTCTTTGAAGCTGAAGAAAATGACTGCACCATATGAGATTTTCAAAGTCAGAAGATACAAAGACAGTATTTTTGAAGAAATAGGTTTGGGTTGAGCATCACTTCGTAAATAATGTCTTCGTATCACCGAGACCCCTCTTAACAGTACAGTGTTTCCTATAACTCAATCCAGAAGAAAAAGAACTACCAAAAGACTAAGTCTTCGCATTCCTAGTCTTTGACTCATTCTTCATAAGGGCGTACTAAAATCTCCAATGTATTTCATACATTTTAGGTGTCGTCGACGGCAGTTAAACCAAACTTCCAGGGACTTTCTCCCATGTATACTCCCAAACACATTAGCCCCTTAACCATTTTTGTCGTTAGTACTTCAAAATCACGAAGGACACTGATGCACTTACACAGGCAAAACAAAATAAAAGATTTAAACATTGCTAAACAAGCACAACAAAAGTTGGTTGTCTAAGGGCATGCCCAATGTGCGATACTTGGAGAGGACGCCAGAATCCTTTTCTTGGTCGATGGCTGATTTGTCCATCGAACCAACCAAGCACTTAGATTTTTTTTCCACCATGCAAGATAAAACGACTAGTGTAGCGAATGATTTTCTTAGCGCCTATGAGTAGAGTCTACCGTTGAAACAGAGGGCTCTCAGATGTATTTTTATATTTATGATTTTTTTCTATTTCCCTAAAAGCCTTTTAAAATAAAACCTAGCCGCGTGTGCATGTGTTCTTTTTTCTACGACATGAAAATGGCCCAAGTAGCACTTGCTATCCAAACAACCCTAAAAGAAGTACAATATTTGGCTGGTTGGCCTTTCTCATGGGCTTTCCCATTCATTGTTTCCGGAGAGAGTTGCGCTCTCCACCCACACATCCCTTGATATTTGGCGCGTTCTTAAAACTGGCCCAAGGCGAGCAATTCTTTTTTTTTAAATGTTTTTCCTTCCATTGAAAACAAACCTTTTTTTAATCGCACTGGAAACAAATTTGAAAGACAAAAGTAGGTTGCAATGTTTAGATTCCAGAGTGGATAGACAAAGGATGTTTCCCATATAGAAAACTCCGGCAGCATAGCTTAATGACATGGGCTGGAGTGGTCGTTTGTCACGATGGCGTCATAGTCGCGCTCTCGGTGTGCTCTCTATTTTCGTGGAGAGGAAGAAAGGGGATGGAAGCGGCCTACCTTGGGTAACGAGGGAGAATGGAAGGGTAGGTGGATAGGTTTTGACGTCGTCGGGTCTTTATGGAGGCCAGGGGCTACGGGCCAGTGGGTGGTGACATCGGCGAGGAGGTGTGCACGGCGTTTGCGTGTTCGTCTCCTCTCTCGAAGAGGAAGATGATAGTGAACATGTTAGGTGTGTGGGCTAGGCCTTGCGTGGGGGTAGGTGAGCAAGTTGGGATGTCCTGCTATGCTGGTGGCTGTTGGGTTTGTGGGAGAAAGCCATTTGGCCGACTAGGATTAGTTTGGATTGATTTTCCATTTTCCGGCCATACAAAATAGAAATAAGATGGAAAGGAATTTATTTGGAGGACCAAATAAATTCAAAATGGGCTGAAATTTTAGATGTGGCCTCTGTGACATATATTTCAAAGCTCCAATAAAGTATCCGGCAAGTTTTGCAAAGCTTGAAGAGGATTTGAATTTAAAAGAGGTAAAGGCGAATAAGAGTATTTGAGCTAGGGGTGCAACGTAGGAGTGGGGTAAAATTCCTAAAATGTGGTAGCTCTTTAATGAGTAAATAACACTACTTGCAAAGTTCGGGAGGTGGGTCTTGAAAGGAAAGGTCAAAAGAGAACAAGGTGGTTTAAAAGCCACAACAACAACAACAACAACAACAACAACAACATTAGTTAGGGCTTGCAAAATTAAAATTGTTCTTGTGGTTTAAGAGCACCTTTAACTGTTTCTTGGCTGTTAGAAACGTTAATTTAGAGGTACACATGATCAATTTTGTTTCTCGAAACACACCAGGCCGTGTTTTGTATTTTTGCCCCTTGATTTGCAGCTCCGTCGACCACTCAGGCTAGATTTAAGCCACTGCGGCGCTATCGGTAGTCGTCATTGCGGGCATATATGATGATGAGGTTTCTGTTGGCGCATGATGTGTCCGCCCTCTGCATCGGCAAGCCGCCGCTCAGGTGGTTGCTACCCTGGTCCATTGTCGCCGAGTTTGGCGCCCGGGGCGTAGACGTGGCCGCTATAGTGTAGGACGACCAGTCGGGAATGACCGACGTGCTCCTCTTCCTCTGGGTCGACGATGGCAGCCAGGCCACGCTGCAAATTGGTATTGTCCACATCGCATTTTTTTTGGAAGTGCCATGGCAAATTTTGAAAACTAAATCATATGACAAATTCAAAAACATGATATAGAAAATTCATAAGGCAAAATCAAAACATGGCGTTTTAGAGGAAATTGTATTGGTTACATGGCATCTTTGCGTGAGGTGGTATGGGCAAATTGCCGGAAAAAGGAATCATATGGAAAATTCAAAACATGGCAGAAAAATCATATGGCAAATTCAAAAACACCTAAACATGTTTTTTTAGAGAAATTTGTATTTGGTCACATGTCATTTTTTTGTGTGAAGTGGCATGGTAAAACTATTAGGCATCAATAAGTTCTTGTTGGAATGATTTTTAAGCAATTAGTTTGTTTTGACATAGTATCAACTCATGAAGATTTGGATGCAAATCTTTTATTTTTCTTTGGCAAATTTTTGTACTAGGTCTATGGCAAGCTCACATGTGCAAACAATGTTCACATGGGAAATAATGTTTTAACATGGCAAATTCCTAGAATGTTTCTTAATGTCCACATGTGAAAATAATGTTTTAGACATGGCAAATTCATAGAGTTATCATGGCATATAATGTTTTTTTAGAAAAATTCTCGTATAGGTAGCATGGCATTTTTATTTTTAAGACCATGTCAATCTAAATTGTTAGACCATGCCATTTTTATTAACTAGACCATGGCAATTTTATTATATGTAGCATGATATTTTTATTATTTACACCATGGCAACTTTATTATTTCGGAGCATGAAAAACTTATTAAACTTAGCATGCCATTTTTATTTTTTAACACACCTTGGTAAATTATTTTATGCATACTATTTTTTACATTTTTATCGACATATCATTTTATGCCTTCTCAAAAGCACAAAGTTGCTTTTTTGCACTATTTCTTGCCATGATGTCAAACTTACACACATTTTGCCATTAACATCGGTTTTTTAGCATCATGGCTGTTTTTTTGGTGTGCATCATGCCAATTTATAATACATAGCACGTAAAATTATTTTCTCATACCATTTTTTATCTTTTGTAGATACCACAACATTTGTTTTTGAACTTGTGGCAAATTTTTCTACTGTAGCACCACAAATATATGGGAATTGTGATTTGTTTCTCATTTTTTAGATCATGGTAGTTTTACTAGACTTGCCCCATTTTTGTAAATTTGCTTTTCTGAGCAAATCTATGAGTTTTTATTTATTATTAATAATAACATGGCATTTTTATAGCATGGTATTTTTAGTATTAATAACATGGCATTTTTAAAAAAAATTAAGTGGATGGCATGTTTCTTATTAAGAGGATGACGTTTTTATTATTGGGCGTATGGCATTCTTATCCTAAGTACATGGCATTTTTATTAATAGGATGATATTTTTATCACGGATGGTCACATGGCAATTGGTTCAAAGTTATGCTCTTATTTTCAACAATGGGGCAGTGGGATGGCATTGTCCATGTTATTTTATCTAAATTTCATCGTGTCAATTTTTATCCGATTTTTTTCTGTAAATCATGTTTTTTAATGTATAACACCTAATCATTTTGAACATGACAACATTTTAATTACGTGCATCATGGAATTTTTTATGTTGTTGTAGCTTTCTAAAATGTTGCTCATACCCTTTTTTTTGTTTTGGCAATGTGTAATAGAAAAATGGCTTTATTTGGCCCAACTTAGAGGCTCACAGACGTGCATGGTTGAGGAATGGTTCGCTGGGTGGGTTCCCCTTAGCGAACGGTTTTGTTTGCAAGACCGGCAATTTTCTGAAAAACATGAGAGGTTGTCTAGTTTCAAGCATAGCAATTCCATACAATGTTGGCAAACTTATATAAGGTTAGTTCTTTGAAATAAGAGCCACAAGTTGGCAAGCTTAAAAGAATCTTACCATACTTTTTGAGTGTGTAGGATGTGGGACCCTAGTGTAGCTTGAACCAAACACCCACCTAAGTTGATTCAGACTCAGTCTCAAATCAAATAGCCCCTGAACTAAGACGAATTTGTCATGTTGGCTAACTAAACTTGCCATCTGCGACCTACACAATTGGTAAGGGGTGATTCTTGAAACAAGTGTGCAAACATAAGTACACATTTTTTTAGGCTTTTTCACCCATGGGACCTAATTTTAATTTGGCACAGGGTCTCATGTTTGGGAGGTACAGCATGGGAGCAACTTTTTAATTGCCTTTTCGTCTATTTTTTTAACACACCCGCAAATCCTACCCGTATAAGCATCTTCGAGTGACTTAGTCGGCATATAATCTTATATTGACGAAGTCACCACAGACGCCTCGTAGGCGACAAAAACGTCTTCTTCCACTAAACACGCATCGCGGTAAATTCTGAAATAAATCGAAGAATAACACGAGCACCAGGATTTAAACGCCAATGGGCCGAGAATACCACTGTTTTTCTAACCATCCAACCACCGGTTGGTTCGCGTGTCTGTTTTGCCTTTTGAAAAGTAGTGCTGCTCCCAGTACACTTTGAAGTGACCAGTTTTCTCCCCGGCCGCGAAAAGAAAACTGACCAGGTTTCAGGGGAGAAAGTGAAGTGAAGGAGCAGCATCGATCACACACGCTGCGTACGCATGATCGATGTCGTTTCTCGAAACACGACACGCCGTGTGTTGTTTGCGTGCGTGCATATAATCTGCGCTCAACATTTTGCGTGCAGCTCCGGCCGGAGATCACTCGGCGCCGTCGGTCCGCGTGCGTGAGTGCGTACATGGTGGCGGGGTTTCTGCTGGAGAGCGAGGTGTCCGACCTCTGCATCGGCAAGCCGCCGATCAGGTGGCTGCCGCCCTCGTCCACCGTGGCCCGCGCCGTCGCCGAGCTCGAGGCCGACGGGGCGCCGGGCGCCGCCGTCGCCGTGTGGGACGGCCAGGCGGGGGCGGCCGTGGCGGGCAGGCTGCGCATGGCCGACGTGCTCCTCTTCCTCTGCGCCGACGACGGCAGCGGCCAGGCCACGCTCGCCGACCTCCTCGCAGCAGCCGGGGCGCCGCCCGTCCGCCGCGTGGAGCCCGACGCGAGGTTGGTGGCGCGCACGCGTCCCTCCCTTGGGCCGGCACGTACATGTCCGCTGATCCGCCAGCTTTTTCTTAATGAGGTTAGCTTGTTTGCTTGTGTGCAGCGTGCTGGAAGCGGTTGACGCACTGCTGGGCGGCGCGCAGAGCCTCGTGGTGCCCATCCGCGACAACCGGCACCGGCCGGCGCAGCTAGAAGCAGAGTCGATGTGCTGGCTCACTGTGGAGGACGTGGTGCGCTTCTTCCTCGGCTCCGTCGCGCTCTTCTCGCACATCGCCTTGCGCTCCGTCTCCGACCTCGGCGCCGTGCGGCCGGCCCTCGCCGTCGCTCCGGGCCACGACGCGCTCTTCGCCGTCGAGCCGCTCCTTCGCGCTGCCCTGGCGACGCACGCCTCCGTCGCCGTGGTGTCCGGACGCTGCCTGGTCGGCGAGATCTCGCCGTTGACGATCTGCTCCTCCCTCGACGCACCCATCGCCGCGCTCTCGCCCATGTCCTTGGTCGACTCTGCCCGCGCCCCGCGAGAAGCCGCCCTCGGGCCCCGCCTCCGCAGCCGCAACCTGCACGGCGTGCTGGACCTGCTCAACGCCGGCGGCCGCCACTTATCGTGCCCGTCCTCTTCCTCTTCGTCCTCCTCGTCGAGCGCATCCTCCTCCTCTTCGTCCGACGGCGAGGACGACGACGAGAAGAACGTCATCTCGGCTTTCACGAGCACGGGTCGACAAGTCAAATTCTCGGCGCGGTGGACGAAGGGGGTCATCGCGTGCCGGCGGGGCAGCTCGCTGGTGGCGGTGATGGCGCAGGCGGTCGCGCACCGCGTGACGCAGGTGTGGGTGCTGGACGACGAGCCGGAGGGAGAGGAGCTGGTGGGCGTCGTTGGTCTCGTGGACGTGCTCCGGGTGCTCCGCCGCCACCTCCTCCGCGCACCGCCCGCGCACACTATGGCTGAGTAATCTCGGCTCCTCCCGGAATGCAAGAATTTCACCAACACCGTGAATGAAACTGAACCGAAGCAAAGCTAAGGGTTGTAAAGTGAGGTGATTTTCTGGCTAGCTAATCCTGAGTACTCTCTAATCCTTTTGAGCCTGCTAGATGGCTGTTAAGTGTTAACGTTTAGCTTCCTTACTTTCTGGCTAGTGTAATTTTTTCAAAAAAAAAGAGATTTATTATAAAAATTCATATAAAAAGTACAAAACACCTTGAACTATAATAAAAATTACACCGAGGTCTTCGAACCCTCAAAAGACCAATGTCGTCAGTCATGGACGTGTCGTTGTTACCGCTCTCATGCTAGAGCCGACGTGTCGTTGTCACTGCTCCCATGCTAGAGCCGGTTAGATCTTATCGATAATAGCCAAAAAGTCTATGTGCAAATGCCCTTAATTAAGTCCCAGAACCAGTCGTCGTTGTTACCGCTCTCATACTAGTTTATTTCTCTCTTGCTATTGTCTTAGTATTTCCTTATCTCGTAATAATGGTATTCAGCGGGGGATTGTTAGCCAGAAATGGGAAATTGACCTGCTGGTTTGGTTCTCGAAACGGAGCAAAAGGGGCCAAAAGAAAAAGGGGGAAAAAGTCAGCTGACCTCTGATTCATGTGGGAAAAACAAGAATTATCTTAAAAAAATCCTATATACAAAGCACAAATAAGTAGGCTCTGCAGTGGCATAATAAGATCCCAAATGCACATTTTCATGTTCTTTACCTTTGGTTTAACCATGTTTATGTTTCTAAAAAAACATGTTTATAAGTATCCAAGTACTTCTTTAATTATTAACCAATCACCCAAGACTCAAGTTTATAGGATTCTTCTGATTTGTAGTAGTACTCCCTCAGTAAACTTCTATAAGAGCGTTTAGACCACTACTGGTCTAAATGCTCTTATAAATGTTTACGGAGGAGTGCTTTGTTTTAACATACATCTCTATTGTATTTCTATAATTATTATATATATATATATATATATATATATATATATATATATTGAGTAGATTCTAGAATTATTATATAATTCGAAGTTTCCAGAACCCCGTGAACCAAAATAAAAGGCCCACATGTAATCTGTACTCAAACAGTGTAGCCTTACTAAGCGGTTGTTTGGATAGTGAATAATAGTAACATGTAACTTGTTTCAAGTTTTTTCTTTCAAAAACCAATTTTGCAAATAAACCTTTTACGAATGTGCTCATATAAAATAATGTTTGGAATAACGTGCTGGTGCACAGCAAAAAGTCCTCATCTTACAAAGAAGTAAGAAGGTTGTGCAGGACAAAAAAAATGAGTTTATATGAAAATGATTAGTATTCAATTTATTTTCTTTCAAAACAACGGTTTATGGATTTTATGAGAAACCTTTTTAGATATCCTTGAGTTAATTAGGAAAAAACAAATAAAAGATTTATACGCTGCCAAATAGGCCCAACCAAAGCTGGTTCAGGGCACGCGCAACGCTAGGAGAGGTCGGCATGATCGATTTCCTGGAAAAACCTATTTGACGCTCTCTGCCTCAAAGGGTCACCAAACGCACAAGCGCGCGATCAATTGGACCGGCTGTATGTATAGCTTGCAGTTCTGCTTTTCGGAACCTTCCAGAAGATTCCTAGCTGGTTTTTAGAGGTTTTGGGAACCTTCTAGAAGGTTCCTCAATTGGTTTTTCTTTCTCTTTTCTCTTTTCTTGTTTCTTGTTTCTTTTCTTCTTTTTTGTTTCTTTCAATTGTACAATTTCAAAATTGTTCCAAACATTCAATTTTTGTTTGCTTTCCCAAATTTTGTTCAGTATTTTAAAAAATGTTTGAAGTTTCAACAAAACCGCGCTTACAAAAAAAATCACGTATACAAAAAAAAATTCAGGATTTTCAAATTGTTCTCAGATTCAAAATTTTGTTCTGCATTTCAGAAGCTGTACCCGTTTTCAAATTTTGTTCTGGAATTTAAGAAATATTTGTGTTTATAAAAAATGTTCATGTTTTACGAAAATGGTTTGAAGTTTTCAAAAATATGTGCATTTTTTAATATGTGCTGGAATTTCAAAAATTGTTCGCATTTTATGAAAAATGTTTGAAGTTTTATAAAATGTTTCCCTTTTCAATTTTTTGTTATATACAAAAAGTCTTCGGGATTTTCCAATTGTTCTCAGATTCAAAATTATGTTCCGCATTTCAAAAGCTGTGCCCGCTAAATTTGTGCTCCAATTTCAAAAATATTTGCGTTTTCAAAAAAATGTTCTGGAAATTCAAAATTTGTTCACGTTTAAGAAAAATGTTCTGAAAATTTTAAAAAATGTTTCACTTTTCAATTTTTTGTTATATACAAAAAATCTTTGGGATTTTCCAATTGTTCTCAGATTCAAAATTATGTTCTGCATTTCAAAAGCTGTGGCCGCTAAATTTGTGCTCCAATTTAAAAAATATTTGCGTTTTCAAAAAAATGTTCTGGAATTTCAAAAAAAAAATCACGTTTAAGAAAAATGTTATGAAATTTTTAAAAAATGTTCACATTATACTCCCTCCATTCCACAATATAGTGCTTCCTCTATCCTCGTGCTTCAACTTTAACCATAAATTTAACTATCAAGACCTATTGCGGCGGAAACAAGAGTTATATCAGTGAATTCGTATTCAAAAGAAGTTTTTAATTATGTAACTTTTTCTTCCGCCGCAGTCGGTCTCGTTCGTTAAATTTATGGTCAAAGTTCGATCTCGGGAAGCGCGGGCGCACTATATTTTGGAATGGAGGGAGTAGAAAATTGTTCATAATTTCAAAAGATGTACCACTTTTCAACTTTGTTTACAAATTTAAGAAATTTTCTGGAATTTAAATTTTCTTTGCTGTTCGAAAGATGTTCAGAAATTTAAAAATAGTTTGCGTTTGTCAAAAAGTATTCATAAATTAAAAAAGTGTTTGCAATTTTTTAAGTAATGCTCAGTTTATGCTGCTGTTTTTAGTTCTTTTCACGTCGCGCCACACATTTGTCTGGAATGCTATGTAGTTGTGCTGACTAGCATGATGTGTGTACAAACTGGAGATCTGTAGTTTGAATTCCAGCTCATGTGATGGTTTATATTTACGCATTTTTTGCCCTACCGCTTGCGCGAGTTCAAGCCCAATGGGCCGGCCCAGTCAGGCACATTCTGTGCGAAGGGACGTCTTTTGCTGCAGAATGCGTCAAATAGGTGCTCCCCTATTTCCTGGTCGGTGGGCAGGTGCGGCGCCGAAGCAGGAAGAGGAATTGAACACTTGTTTTTCCATTTCACCACGCAAGATAAATAAAACAATCAATGTCGTATCCGATTTTCTTAGTGCCTATAAGTAGCGTCCACCGTTGTAACAGAGGGCTAGTACACGGACAGATTTTTCAAATTTATGATATTTTCTCTAAATGCCTGTCCAAATGTTTTCACGTTGAAGATGTCCTTTTTATTTTAAAGGGTCATTGAAGATGTCTTAAGTGTTCCTTTTTCTGGAACATGAAAATGGCCCAAGTACTCACTATCCGAAAAACCCTGAAAGAAATACAATATTCGGCTGGGGGGGCTTTCCCATTAGTATGGGTATGAGCAGTTTACCTATATGGGCTAGAGAGAACTGACCTTTCCACCCACACATCCCCCTACATTTGGCCCGATCTGGAAAGTGGCCCAAGGCGAGCAATTCTTTCAGCAAAAACGTTTTTTTTTTTGGCTTCCACTGAAAACATACGTGAAAGAAAAAAGCAGGCTGCAATGTTCAGATTCCAGAGGAAGAAGGAAACTCTGGCTGCACGCCCGCAGCTGCGAACTTCGTATCACTCTCGTGCGCCATCGCCATGAGCTAGCTCTTTTCTTCCCTCGGTACAAGCCGGTTCATGTGTGGGAGTCCGAGTCTGATGTGACAGACGTCCGAACTCCCTCAATTTGGAGCCCGTCGGTGCGATTTCAGACGTCCGGACTAGAAGACCGTCAGGTTTGATGATCCACATTATGCATATGTTGTGCGTGAACTATTTTCAATTGTATCATCTTGGCCCTTGAAAGAAAAGAAAAAAGAGCTTAGAACGACACAACCAACCGCTTTACATTTCAGCCAGCGCTTCAGTAGTTGGAGTTGAATTCCTTGCTTCCCTGCGCGGCCATCCCATTCCCTCCCAACAGAACAAGGAAGCCAAAGCGAAAAAGCCAACTCCACAGTCCACACTCATACACACACACACACACACACACTCGGTTGAGGTTCCCTCCCTCGAGAAGAAGAGAAGAAAAAGGACGATGCCTTGCCTCCCTCCGCTCTCTTCCCTTCCCTTCTTCCTCACCACCCCCACCACCACCACCCGCACCTGACCACCGCCACCCTCGCTCGCTGCGCATTCTCTCCGCTCGACCACCGTCGCAGCCACAGTGCATGTCCATGGCGTCGGGCGGCGGCGCCGGGCCGTCTCGGCCGCAGCGGCAGCTGTCGATGGGGCCGCGGAACCTGTCGCGGGCCATCACCATGCGGACGGAGGGCTTCTCCGGCGAGGAGGAGGAGAGCGAGCTGGTGCCCTCCTCCCTCGCGCCCATCGTCCCCATCCTCCGCGCCGCCAACGCCATCGAGGACGACAACCCGCGCGTCGCATACCTCTGTCAGTACACTGTTATCGATTATTACTCTGCACTTGCATGCTCTGCTTCCTACCGATCTATCTCTGCTCCCACCTGGCTACACGACTACTGCATGCATGCGTGATGCGTCCAAGGAGTGCTCCAAACAAGATGATCCTTTCGTTATCATTTCCTTTTTGTCTAAGATGAAGTTTATTCAGAATAATTCTTTATCATGTCAACCATACAAGTTATAACACCAACTGTAGGAAAATTACCCTTGAGAAAATTCAAAAAATAAGATGAAGTATAAGTAAACCGACCATGTCATATAAAAAACTTAATTTAGTTCAGAATATGTGGTTGCCTCACTTCCACGCTAGTACTAAACTTTGTCCA